GTGAATTTCAAACTAATTTTGATGTTTTGTCTTTTTAGACATAACTATCCACTTGTCTATTGCACAGCAGATGGAAACAGATAAATGAGCCAGAACAAGCTGCTAGTCATTAGGTGGAGGAGACACATGTACCCCAAGCTTGCTCAGGTTGCCTCTTAGAAAGGACACTGGCCACTTCTGTCCAGCCCATGCTAAGGTTTCTCAGCAGCTCTCCATACTGCTCAGACAAGAGGGTAGCAGCTTCTATATAATAACGGTGATCATACAAATCGTTCAGCTTTTAAGACCAAGAATAAAATACCAATTACAACATAAAAGATACTGTTCTAATTAAAGACACAACCTTCAATGGCATCTTTCAGGATTCTTTAATGTATCAAAGTATCTTTATTCACAACCCCAGCAGGCATATCTTACTTTTATGTTACACAAAGAAAACCTGAAAGCGAGAGCTATCACTCAAGATCACACAGTGCCAGTGGGAAGTGAGGTCTCAATGAATTTGTATGATTTCAATGATATTGAATCTAAGCCACTGCAACTCTCCTGTTGATTCAGAGATGAACAGAATCAACCTTCAAGGAGCTCACAGCCCAGAACTTCATGCAGCCATTAAAGCAAAGAATGTAGAGTGTAGGACTGGAATGATCTACTTAGAGTACAATCACAGGCTTCCTTTATAATAAAATAAAAAAGCTCCTTTGCAAAGAAATGCAGGGTAACATGAACAGCAGACATTAGGTTAGACCCAGAACAGATCCACAAACACTGGAAAAACCATTTAGAAAAGGTGGTATTCTGGGTTGAAAATAAATCTATCTCTAGCATCTAGATGTGGAACGGGACACTTCAAGCAGGAAAACTGCAAACAGAGACCCACATAGAGTCCCCACTGTGGTGATCCTACTATTTCTCTGCTGTGGACTCCAGAGAATTCAGTGGGGATAGTTTTATCAAGCCTCTTACAAAAAAATTCTGAACCCATGGATCTGAGGGGGAAAAAAAAAGCTTATCTCAAGTGATTTAATCTGAAATAAAGTTTAGGAAGAAGTGGGTTGGTGGAGAGTCAAGGAAGCCATGGTTATGATAACTTTCAGCTTCTCGAAGGTGACTGGTAGCCAGGAATTGAAGGAAGAGGGAGATGGCAGACCCATGGATAGAGGGCAGCAGCCCAGGCCAGAAATACAGAAGGCCTCAACAAGGGTAATAGCAAATTATAACAAAAGGGGGAAAAGTGATTTCAAAAACTTCTTCAATGAAAGCTTGAGACTGGGGGCTGCAGAGATGGCTCAACGGTTAAGAACACTGGCTGTTCTTCCAAAGGACCCAGGTTCAATTCCCAACACCCACATAGCAGCTCAAAACTGATTGTAACTCCAGTTCCAGGAGATCTGACACCCTCACACAGACATACATGCAGGTGAAACACCAGTGCATATAAAATAAAAAATTATTAAATGCAAACAACAAACAGCACCGTGCCGTGATTGACAGAGCAGAGGGAAGTCAGAAGTGAAGCCCGAGTGCTTTGGAGGCACTGATATGAGAAAATAGGAAAGTCACAAAATGCAGCGTGGTGGGGGCGTGAGGTGCAGGAGATAAAGAACCCTGGCCAAGGGCTGAGAAACTAGAGAGCTCTGCAGAGAGGTATCCATTAGACAACTGGAGGGAAAATGGGCACGCCAGGATATACAGATATGTGGCAGGATGTTATCCCAGCAGCCCACCCCTCCAGAACAAGGTCGGTTTGGAGGGCTACAGTAGCACAGCATTGGCATGGCAATTCTCATTGAGAAAGAATGGCGGCTTGTAACCTCCTTGGCGGAGTGAAAGGCTTCATTCTTTCTCAGTGGTTGGGAGTTTCTCAGGTTCAGGAAAGAGGAAACCAAGGTTATCTTGATGGAATCCTTTCCCATTTCAGTCTTAGAGCAAATACAAAGTGATTCTGGAATGTAAGTTCACAGTACACAGTAGAATTTAAGCATACCATTTTTTTCCTTTGGAAACACAAAGCAGAAGGAAGACAAGCTTTGAACATTTAATTTTACCTAACAGAAAAATTTCAAACTAATTTCTTAGTTCACCTCAAAGTAATTATAAGCAAAACTTACTTTATTACCAGAAACATCATTTCAACAAAAATACAAGACAACTCCATCCTCCCATCTTCTTTCTCCACGGTTGCTGGACCTTAGCAAGCAGGCCAAAAGCACTGAACACAGTCTTCCACCCAGAAGCCACGCTGCCAGTGAAACTTCTCCAATGCATCACCAATGGCGTGGCCTTGGAAGACTTCTGCATCAATCACAATCATCCCAGAGGCCTAAGAAACTATAAAGCCTGTACCCCCAGTTCTCATCCCACCATCTCCTAATTAGAAGTCCCCTGAGGCTGGGCGGTGGTGGCACACGCCTTTAATCCCAGCACTCGGATCTCTGTGAGTTCAAGGCCAGCCCGGGCTACAGAGTGAGTTCCAGGAAAGGCACCAAAGCAACACAGAGAAACCCTGTCTCAGAAAAACAAAAACAAAAACAAACAAACAAAAAGAAGTCCCCTGAGTACTGACAGCTACAAAACAGAAATAATGGCTATATAACATAGTCGTTAAAGGAATTACATAAAATAAACATTTTGTAAGTAGAGGGAAATACATGATCATACTGTAGTGTGATTTGTACTTTGATGACATAGACAAATAGTCAGAGAAAGGCATTCATGGCTCAGCTTGAGCTCAGTGAGGAGGAAGAGAGGCAGTGGGGATGACAGTGAAGATAACTCTTGTACAAACAAGAACAACAAAGAAATGTAGAGAACATGCCAGAAAAAAGAAAAGGGGTTTGGGATACCATAAGAAAGGCATAGTTACATAGGAAAACTTGCTATCTTGTTTTGTTACAGGATTATAAAGCTCAGGTTGGCCTCAAACTTGAAATCCTCCTGCCTCTGCCTTTCATGTGCTAGGACTACAGATATGCTATACTATGCCCTGCAGAATTTGACATCTGTAGATAACATCAACCAAGGAGAACTGGTAATTACCAGATCTAATAATTATGGTTTTGTCCATTCACAAACAAATCCCCAGAATCATGACATATAGCATCCTGCACTTTTCATTCTGATGAGGTACAAATTTGAATCACCAACAACACAACACTAATCACTGGCATCTGCAGACAATAACTCCAACACTAAGGTGCCAGACTAATTCTTGATGCTTGTAACAGGAATATCTTCATTTAAAAATGAATTTACTTTTGAAATCTAATATACAAACATTTCTTAAAATGGCTCAGAATGAAATTTAAAAGGCAAAAGAAATATTCAGCCTATCTCTGAGAATTTAATGTACTGGTTACAGGTAAATAGTAACTGATCTCATATTATTAAAATTGATACTATAAAAAGAAAGCAAAAATCAGGGACAAATTACCTTTTCCATATGCCCATTTTAATTTAGTTTTAATGTAAGCATATAAGGAGAGTACTATTGTATTGCAGTTTCCTCTGATACTGAAGCACACCAACCTGCAGGGAAGTTTCTTAAGACAGAAGGTAAGCAACTCAAAATAGCTTCAGGAAGTCCCTGAAATCAACCAGATTCACTAGGCCCCTACCTCCCAAGAGAAAACAATGAAGACCACTGAGAATCACTCTCAGATGAGCCAAGCTGCAAAGATGACTCTGGAACCAGACTAGCTGCCTGGAATAAGCAAAAAACAGCCAAACTGCCTGGAAGAGGTTTCGATTAACTGAGCCACTTGGAAGGGACACCCTGTTGAGTTGCCTGCTGGCTGTGCAGCATGTTCTATGTTCCCAGCTTTGTGAGCTGTCACTCAGATAGGCTTTGGTGATGCAGGCTGTCTGGGTCATTTCTGTTCCCTTAAGTACCCCTTAACCCATAAGTAACACCCCAGTAAACTCAATGGTTCACCAAGACGGACTTTGGTGGTATCTCTATTTTGGTCTGTTTGAGCTCCCTATCTGGGGTGAGTGTGTGTGTGTGTGTGTGTGTGTGTGTGTGTGTGTGTATGTGTGTGTGTGTGTAGCATCTCCAAGGAAAAATTCTGTTGCACAGGTGTTGGCTCTGTGCTCAGCATGACCTCCCTGAACCATGCTCACTGCTGATGAAAGCACAGGATGAAGAAGACAAGTACAGCAAGGGTGTGCTTTCCAGTCTGTCTTACTGGTGGTGCTGGTGAGAAACAGGAGACCATCGAAGCAAGGGAAACAGAACTGGGTTAGGAAGCTTAGTTACTAATAGAGATGCTAGATCTAATTCTCAGGTCTCAGTGCTCACTCACTTCCCAGAAAGAAATGCAAAGCACAACATCTGGAACCAAAAACCTCTAAAGGTGATTTTCTTTGGGTACAAATATCACAATCTGCTCCAAAAACAGGCAAAATACTGAAGAGGTTCCAGATGATTTGTGATGAAACTAAAATTAAAGAAAGCCTCACTCAAGAGGTCAATCCCAGCTGTAGTGTCTTACTAGATATGTGACTTTGAACAACTATAATTATAATCCATAGGCATTATTGTAAACCTTGTTTTACTTATGAATAAATATAATTATTTATATAAATAAGGTTCACAACAACATGTATCACAAAAGGCTGTGATAGAAATTAGTTGAGAATAATGAAGTAAACACAATATATGGAAATAACATTAAAATGAATATTAAATAATTGAGTCATTGACTATTATAATATCATTGTCAAATAGCAAAATAAAAGACAAATATCAACTAAAATCTGATTCATAAAATTGAACTATTCAAAATACTTTAAAACTGTTTCAACTGACAGAAAAATGAAAATTAAAAGTAAATAAATATGAAAAACGTTTCTATGAGAGCAAATCAACACAGAACCTGTACAAATGACTCTACACAGCAATACGATGCACACGTACTATGCAAGTGAGAATCAACCACGCTGCTCCAGGTAGAGCAGGAGATACAGAAATACAAAGGCAAAGGCAAGCAGGAGCCTACCTGACTGACTCGGTTCACTTCCTCCTCCTCCTCCTCAGCTTCTTCTCCGAAAGAAAGTAAACTAAAGTTTCTATCAAAAAAGAAAGAAAAGAAAATTCAGGAGAAAAGTTAGGCGAATTTCATACATGTCCCATTTTCAAGCAATAGCACAGGTTTCTAAGAAATACATTTTATTTGCACAGTATCACTTAGTCTTCAGCAGGAGTGTCCCAGCATCCACAGCTCTGGGCAAAGGGTTTGGCCTCAGAGTAACTACGTTCACCGAGTAACCTCAACTACTTCCCACAGATTCACCCCAGCCGGGTATTACCATAGTGCACCCAGTCACACATGACAGAAATAAGCTTTTGATAGTTATCAAAGCTGGAAGAACCCCAAGAGCACTACAGGTGAGTAATTAACCTATTTTAATACCCGAAAAATACATCTTAATGTTTTAAAACTAAGAAACACAAAAAGTTGATGGGAAGAAAATATCTCAAGTCTTTAAAACTAAACAACAAAAACTCAGGTAAAATGAACCGTAAGTTATTACAGTGCTCTCTTGAGTTTCAGGAAAAAATAAAACTTTGACAGCAACGGAGTATTTTTTTATTTCTAATCTACATGTAAGCAATGATGACACATCATCTCTTGCTCTGAATGAAAGGAACGTTTTCAGTCATTGTTCTGAATGAAAACGAGGTAACAGACAACACACAGAGACCTCAGACTTGTCATCAGGCCAAATGGCAATACTGAAACAGTGTATCCTAACAGTAACAATGACCTTTCAGCAGCAATGAACTGGAGTAAGAAATCAATGGTGGGATCAAAGAAAATCAAACATACAGCACTATAAAAAGTGATTTTGCCATAAGACACCTGCTGTTTGTTAAAGTGCTTGGCTCGTCTTTGACAATATATTAACACAGTTTAATGTACGTACTTTGTGGGGACCCAGTGTGTACTGACCACCTATACTGCAGGGTGTTTGCATATGCGCCCTCTCAGTTAACTTCCTAACAAGCAGGTGTTGTGCTTAACATAACCTTCACTATATTTGCCTTGAGATGACCAAAGTTCAGAGATTAATAAACTGTGCTTAAGAACTGGGTGTGGCAGGCCCATACACAGAATCGTCTGAATCTAATACTGATAAGTAGGATGTTACAATTCAGCAAAATGCAAATTGAAATCCAACATTTTTATTGAAAGTATTATTTTTAATGAAACAGAAAAAAAATGTAAACAATATTGGCATAAACAAACTTTATTAAAAAATAAATTGCTATTTTAAGAAAATATCTTTAAGAAAAACAGAATAATGAATAAAATGGTTTTGTTTAAAAATATTTATAAAGCCGGGTGGTGGTGGCACACGCCTTTAATCCCAGTACTTGGGAGGCAGAGGCAGGCAGATCTTTGTGAGTTCGAGGCCAGCCTGGTCTACAGAGTGAAAGCCAGGAAAGGCGCAAAGCTACACAGAGAAACCCTGTCTCGAAAAACCAAAAAAAAAAAAATTTATAAAAAGATTATTGTGAATAGCACCAAAGTAGATTAAATAAAGTATGCAATCCCATAACACACATTAAAAATATTCTTTATAGTGTTCTTGCCTCCCCAAACTCTATACTAAGGATACATTAACTTACAAATGAGCAGATGTTTCTCAATAACTCAGCTACGTAAACATAGTAAATACTAAATATTTATTAACACGTGTTATATAGCTACCTGCAATGATACATTTCTAGCTTAAGTTAAATAATGTCATTAAATGTAAGAAATGTTCACTTTAAACACACACACAATTCTGTTACTCTCTGGTTCAAAATGACATTCCCCTGTTTAGTAAACAATGATTACAAAAACAAATTAAATAAATTAGTGTCACTATTAAAGTGAAGGAAAATCTACTATGATTACTTTGTGCCTTTGGGTTTCAATTTCTTGTTTTCCTCCTCTGGTTTCTCTTTTTTGGGCCTTTTAATTTCTCTTGGAATGATGTCATCAAAAGGATTAAACAAAACCTATGAAAAGAAGCATTTTGAAGATATTATTCCAGTTTAATTTTACAAAAAAATTAAAAACAATATCGGCTGTACTGACAATCGTGTCTAAATCTTCCCTGCATAAACTTTATTAGAGCAGCAGTCCACAGGGTCCACAGTGCACTTCCAGTCATGTGGCCTCACTGACCGTCCCAAAACATTATGTTCTTTTCACGTAAAAGACACTTTATCTGATACCTATTTTACAGAAGGAAAAACATAAGGAACCAACTCAGACATTGGGACTCCATATCAAATGCTCTTAAGGATTACCTCACTTCCTCCATAAAGAATAATTTAATTCAACTAAAATCCACTTCTTTGAGCAAAGAAACCTGATTCTTTTAACTTTTCATTATGGATTGAGCTTTTCATTCTTTATATTATCGCTAAAGTTTCAGATCAGAATCCAAAGCCTTTAATTAAAAACTGTATCAGAAATTGTTCTTAAATATGGTGTTTAGTATAAAGCTTTCATCGAATGGTTTCAGTGTCTCTGAAATAGCACCTGACAGCATGCTCCTACCTCACAACTTTTGATTCGATGTGGATTGCGGGGTCTTTCATCATCATCGACATCTACCTCTGTCAAGCGCAGCATGTTGTATACTGTATCCCCTGTAACCTACCAAACAAAAACATAAAGCATGATCGCACACATCTCTATCCATCTTCTCAATAAACAGAGAAATTCTGAAAAGATTTTAAATAGTGGACTTCTGAAAAAGGGTTTTTAAATAATTAAAAGAGAATATTTGATTTTCACTGAGACTATGTACAATTAACAATGAAGGTAAAGCATGCTCACTTTAAGGCTGAAAAGCACAGATGGGCTCAGTCTCTTTTTTTTTTTTTTTTTTTTTTTGGTTTTTTCAAGACAGGGTTTCTCTGTGTAGCTTTGCGCCTCTCCTGGAACTCACTTTGTAGCCCAGGCTGGCCTCGAACTCACAGAGATCCGCCTGGCTCTGCCTCCCGAGTGCTGGGATTAAAGGCGTGCGCCACCACCGCCCGGCGGGCTCAGTCTCTTAATAAGCCCTTACGTGTTTCCAGTGTCTACTAAAGTCAGTTACTAAAAATAAATATACAATGTCAACCTTCTTACTAAATGACAGTCCACTCAGCTATCACAAACAAATTTGGACTTAAAGCAGCTTAAGCGTTACCAGTATGATAAATACTTTGCAGGTTATTGCCTAATTTAATCTACACAAATACCCTAAAAATGAGAGGTAATACTACCTTCCCTACCACAGAGCTGACAGTGGGAGCTTCTCCACTTACACGGCTGTGCTACACGTTCTCTCATGCTGAGCTATGTCACAGCAATTGTAAAACACAGTGCAAGAGAGGAACTCAAGTCTCATCTTGTTAATAAAAAAAGCTAGAGGTAGGAAACCCGTGATTGCCAGAAAAGCCTGCGTTAGGAACGCATCAAAAGAACATGATAGTACGTATTTCCTGACTCCTCTTGTCCTTAAGAAATGAGCAACAATGTTACATTTTATGATTTGAGTATGACTCCAATTTCAAGGTTCAGTTGTCTAACAGTACTGAATTGTTTCCCTCTTATAGTCAAAGCCCACTTTTGCCTAGGATGTAAGGAAGAAATTCTTACTGAACCAGCAGAGGGGGCTAAAAAGCTAATAATGTCTACTATGTCTAAGAATTAAACACAGGGATATTCAGAAGAGAAGGGAAGAGGATGAGAGAGACGCCTTCAGGACCCCTCTTTAAAGAGGACTGTTGACAATGCTATGGGAAGGTCATTCCGTCGTTTGTTGTTAAATGTCAGGAGGATTAAACAGGTACCTTCAAAGTAATATTGCCAATCAAATTATAAATACTAATACAACTTCCACTTTAAATTTAAGGGAATTTATCATTGGTAACTTTAAACTATGAAATCATTTTGGCTAAGTCTTTTTAAAAGTATAAACAACACTGGCTCAGTGGCTGTAAGCAGCTAATGCCACCACTGTGATAAGTAACACACGTAGGTCATGACAAATGACGGGCCCGAAGCACCCCGAGTTCAGGTAGCCCTGGACAGTTCATCATAACAGGAACATAGTCCATCATGTTTGAAAACAGTAAGTAAATAAATGTAACATTTTTGAAGGCACTTATTATATAAGTTAATTGTATGTATCATAGAAGTTTAAAGAATAACATAAAACCAAAACCAAACCATACACTTAACATATAGACACAAACCTTGCCAAAGATGGTGTGCTTATTGTTAAGTTCATCTGCTCGACCCAGGGTAAAGAAAAACTGGCTGCCATTATCATGTGGACCAGCATTTGCCATGGCAACCAGTCCTCTCCTATTAAAACGCAACCTCGAGTGAAATTCATCCTGCAAGAATGAAAGAGATTTAGTGACTGTTCTCAGTCATAGACCCTTCATATTCAATCAGCTATGCAGCAGACCAGCGAGGCTCAGACAATTTCTAATCAAAAATGCTGAAGCTTTATTTAACTGATTTTGAAGTACAATCAAATCCAAATTTACTATCTGTTCAATGCTCTTAAACCTGAATTCAGCAGCTTGTATCTTCTAAATATATTCAGCCCCCTTGCTGTTTTATGGAAGTCTTAGTACACAGAGGAAGGGTGCTCAAAGGGACGTGGTCTAAGTCCCATTTCCCTACTCAAGAAACCTATCTTTGAACACTGGGAAACTGCCAGCTAGTCTCCTTCCCACCTTGTTCCTCACGGTGTGAGGCAGTGGCTTTCTTCCTGTTTTGCGATTCAGAGACTCCACCAAGTGTGTGTTAGTGTGATTTAACTGTGCTTTTACACATCCTGAACTGTCTTAGTTGACTCTTCTCAAGGGTGGCATGAGTCTCGTTTGGCAGATCGTAACAGTGCAGGACCACTGCTCCTTGGGTGTTTTCCTTGTTCTGAGAGCTACTTAGAATTGCCCCTCAGACTACACTGAGATAGATCATCTGTGACACACCCATCTCTATTATCAGTGCTTTTCAAGCATTAGAGGCTATTTTTCTTTAATACATTGTTCTTCAGATCTGAACTCAGTCCATCTCACCAGGAACCAGAGAGTCTAACACCTTGACCTCTGACTTGGTCAGCTTTCAGAAGGACTGTGAGTAGAACATTCCTGCTGTTTAAGTCCCCCGAGTCTGTGGTATTTCTATACCATGTGTCCTGGGCAGTTTTATGTCAACTTGACACAAACTAACGTCATCTGAGAGAAGGGAACCTCGATTAAAAATATACCTCCATAAGATTAGGCTGTAAGACATTTTCTTGGTTGGTGGTTGATGGTAGAGGGCCCAGCCCACTGTGGGTGGTGCTACTCCTGGGCTGGTAGTCCTGGGTTCTATAAGAAAGCAAGCTGAGCAAGTCATGAGCAGCAAGCCAGTAGCAGCACCCCTCCATGGCCTCTGCATCAGCAGCTCCTGCCTCCAGGTTCCTGCCCTGAGTGAGTTCCTGCCCTCACTGCTTTTGATGATGAACTGTTACATGAAACTGTGAGTGAAATAAACCCTTTCCTTCCCAAGTTGCTTTTGGTCATGGTATTTTACCACAGCAATAGTAACCCTAGCTAAAACACCAATGTTTAAAGTGATGTATCTAGATGAAAGAAGTTAACAAAGTAATTGTAGTATTTTAAAATAACAAAGCAAAAATCTCTGAAAGGAAATGCCCACAGAGAAGTTAGGATAAACAATGGGATTAACAGGATACAGGAGTATTTCCTATAAAGTGGAGGTCCTAATTAACAGTGATGGCTGAGATATTTTAAAATAATATATCCTACTTTCCAGGGCCACTATCATCTAGAAAACAAAGTTTAGGAAAAAAAAAAAGAAGTCCCACTGTTTTTCTCAACAATCACAATCACACTGTGGTACATGCCAGCAACCCTAGCACTCAGGAGGCTCAGGCACAGAGTCACAAATTTAAGGCCAATCATCTCTATTGCAATTCCAACCAAGGCAGCAAGGCAGGACCCTCAATAGAAACTTTCAAACAATTAAAAATCACACTGACCCAGAAAAAGATGAAAGGAATCTCCAGACACTCTTTCCCACTAGAATAAATACGTAGTTTTCAAAAGTTTCCCGATTTTAAGAACCACTGACAGTTATTCTCTCAAAGAACCTAACATTGCTATAATTAGACTGACAACAAATACAATTTTTGCTGTATTTGAACCCATTATTGTTCCTAATTTCCTAAATATTTTAACTTAACTCTTTTCCTTCTTAAGTTTATGCTGGCAGTCAAGAAATCACAGGCCAGGACTGGAGAAATGGCTCAGCAGTTAAGAGCACTTGTTGCTCTCACAGAGCACTTGGATTCAATTCCCAGCACCCACATGGTGGTTCACAGCCATTCATAACTCCAGTTTCAGGGAACCAATGCCTTTTTTTGACCTCTGCTATCAGCAAACAACACATGATAAACATATAACATGCAGGCAAAACACTCATACATAAAATAAAATGAATAAATCTAAGAAAAATTTAAAATAAATTATATACCCATTCTTGATTAATATATCCTTTTTTTTTTTTTTGGTTTTTCGAGACAGGGTTTCTCTGTGTAGCTTTGCGCCTTTCCTGAAACTCGCTTTGGAGACTAGGCTGGCCTCGAACTCACAGAGATCCACCTGGCTCTGCCTCCCGAGTGCTGGGATTAAAGGCGTGCGCCGCCACCACCGCCCGGCTTAATATATCCTTTTAATAATATTTTTGGCTCTTCCTTCTGCTCACTTTCTGACTGTCCATCATGCATGGCTTTGTGCTATAGAGTTCTTTTGTGTACAGTAAGTACAGAAGACACAGTAAGCTCCAGTGTGGGAGACCGGTCCCTCAAAAGCTTTCTAATAAAGTCCTAATCCCTGATGCAGCCATATCTGTGGCTCTGACGAGGTGGTGAAGGTTATAAACGTGAAAAAGTAAGATGAAGTCAAAGGGCTGGGCTCTCATTCTAACCCAAGAGGGTTTGCGTCCTTACAAGAGAAGACCAAGACGTCGGACCTGGCTTTTTCTTCCCCAGACCTCTTCAAGGTGGGAAGAGGGACGGTTAGACACTGTGACAACTGAAAGAAAGTAAATTCTCATTTACCGCCCCCCCCCCCAGGTCTGTTGTAGCAGCCCAAGCAGACTACTGCAAATTCCATATAATGTTTAAATCAAATTTATTTTAATCTAAAATAGCACATGCAATGTTCTAAAACTTGGCTGCTGAATCAAACACAGCCAAACATCAGGAAATACGCCATATGGACTTCGTTCTGAATCCTTCTTCTCTCTGTCTCTGTCCCTCTCTGTCTGTGTCTGTGTCTCTGTCTCTCTCTCTCTCTCTCTCTCTCTCTCTCTCTCATTGCAATCTTTAGTTCTACCCTAACTTAATCTAGTACAAAAGCTTGCCATAAAATAAATCAGAAAGAATGGTAAGATAATATTTGCCCTTATCTTTGAATAATTCTAACTCCACTGATTTTGTATACTACATGAGATGTTTTTCTTATGGGACACTATCACTTTCAAAGAAGCATTCCAAGCTGACCTAGAATACAGTAAATTGATCTGACCTTGAATGGGGCTCCATAGATGGACTCTCCACCAGTCCCGGTACCTGTGGGATCCCCACCTTGGACTATGAAGCCAGGTACAACTCTGTGAAAAATGGTGTTGTCATAGTAGGCTGAAAAAGAATTAATGTATCAATTTCTAAAACTCAGTATGACTTTAGTTATCATAGTTAATATACAAACAGAGTCACAGATTTAATTTCCAGAATGGTAAGTATGATTTTAGATCAAAACCTTTCCTCACTACTTCTTATAAAACATTCCATCTTCAGAACACTGTATGTTTCAACAGAAGTAATGGTGGTTTACTTTTTGTTTTATCTCCAGAATTTTCTCACAGTATGGATTACTGTTTTCAAAATAAAAACAAGAAGTTCAATACACATCAATGCTTTTCAACTGGAGGACAGAGAGGAGCAGCAATTCTGCATCCCAGAGGACATTTATCAACATTTTGAAATATCTGGGTTATCACAACTGGGGAATACTACTGGAATACAAGATGGCAAGAATACTGCTAAGCATCCTAAAATACAGAGGTTGTGTCCACAATAAAGAATAACCCATCCCAAATGCCAACAGTGCTAAGGCTGAGAAGCCTGGATAGAGATGAATAGCTCATTTCTTGCCTCTTCTCTTCTCCTGAGAAAAAATTAACTTACTAATACACAAAAATATAGAAACTCAGAGATAAAAGTTATTAACTGATCATAGTTCTAGCACTGTCCATTGCAGTCTCCTCAAAAAAAAAGTTCAATAAATGAAACAAATAACATTATATATTTTAGTCCAATTAAATAGTCATTCACTTTGTTAAGTGATTTTCAGAAATCAGTATAGAATTAATAGAATTTAAATATATTCCTATATTATAAATATATTTCTAGTCACAAATATGCAGCAGAGATGAAATACGGTCTCACATAGAATTTATTCTCTGAAACCAGAATCATGAAGAAGGAAAAAGTTAACTTAGATAAAACAGAAGCATGGCACCCATTGAGTTATAGGGCATCGCTTATGAAAATTGAAAATTAGCATCTTTTTTTTTTCCTTCTTTAGTAACAGTTTTATACCATGTTTTAGACTGGAAACTTTCAAAACTTATGTTTATTTTAGATGTTTCCCTAGTTATATAGCAAAGACCATCAGGTCCAAAGTTAAATCCATAAATAAACATCTTCAAGTGCTGCAAAGAATACGACCATCTTTCAACAAGAAAGCCTGTTTCATTGAGGGTCACATGGGAGACTGAGCTCCCTCCCTCCCAGGTTTTCATTCATTCTCTTTTAATTCTGAAAACTACACATTGCTGCTGCTGTTGTATTGAAAGGTGCATTACAAGGCCCAGAAACAGCCAAACTCCTTTGAATCATACACTCAAAGGATTAAATGGAGTTCTCTGCATTAGTTTACTCATTTTTTTAAATAAGTGTATGTGTGTTCTGCCTGCATGTATGTTTATATATCACATTAATGCCTGATGAACCTGAAGGCCAGAGAGCACATTGGCTCCCCTGGAAGTGGAGTTACAGACAGTTGTGAGCTGCCATGTAGGTGCTTGGAATTGAGCTCAGGGCCTCTGGAAGAGGTGGCCAGTGTTCCTGACTGCTGAGCCATCTCTCCTGCCAGGAGTGTCTTTTTTAAAATTAGTCTTCTCAGTTTTTAGTTAGCCTTCCCAACAATAATTCCATTAAATTCTTGCCTGTTTCATTAAGAAAATTGCTTTGGTTATTTCTATAAATTTTCCAGTCTTTACCTCCATCTCCTGGTCTTCTTATAAGTGGGAGAATAATTCTTTTTTGATGCAAGTAAGCTTTGTCAGCACCCAGCTGGACCTCATGTTTATTTCATTGTTGCATGCTATCCAGATACTTTCTGTTTCTTCATTCACCTGGTCCTGGGTTGCAATTTACCATTCATTTTTTCTAGTGTTTTTGTAATTTCACTCTCCTGTAAAATTTGAGCTTTTGACTTCTTTAAACTTATTACCAGAAGTCAGACTTCTCTGTCTCCCTTGTTTTTTAGCTTTGTTGACAGTTACCCGAAGCCTCTCTAACTAAACTACCTGTCTGATTTTACTTCCTGCCTGCCTGCCATAGCAATTATTAATAATGGTCTTTGCAGACATAGTTCCTTTGTCTCATCTGAGGGATTGGATTCTTCTATTATTCTTTCTTTAGTCTCCCCCCTGCAGTGTTTTATTTATCTAATTTCTATTTGGAGAGCTTTGACAATATCATACTACAGGATACTTTGGATTCTTAAATACCTTGTTTCTCACCCAAAACATTGTTTTCTGACACCATGAATAACACTGTCTCTAAAAATTAGTTATGACTGGAAGACAGTGATTTGCCACCACGGGAGTATTTAAAGTTGTACGTAATGTAGTCTAGAAGCCAACCAGAAACTGTAAAGAGAGTATGGACTGTATAGCTGCATACACAAATATCCATGAACAAAAAAATACCCAAGTGAATGTAAAATTTTGCCAAGTTTCTTACAAAGAAAAATCATCATGTTATGACTCAAGTTGATAACAAATCAGTGAATGCCAGGTGGTAAGCTTTGTGAAAAAACAGACTTGGAACAAAATAATGAAAATTATTTATACTTAAATGAAAACAGGATGAGAAACATACCCAAAAAAAGGAGAGCTAGTATGAGGATGTGCAGAAGAGGAAAAGGAATGTTCGGGAAATGGAGAGAATGGCTGACCAAAGGCACATGGTTAGTGGAATGGGAACTAATGGAAAGCTAGGGAGAGGGAAGACCAGATAGGAGGCAATTACAGTCATGGAGATCAAAGTCCAGGTCCTCTGGGGAAGAAGATGAAATCTGGTCTAGTGGTAGCTAACAGAAGTTTCCAGTAGAGAAGACCATCACACCATTGGATAAATTAAGCACAGGAAGGGAAGAAATGAAAAGGGTTCTGAAAATAATAGTCATTTGTCTAGAGACAACACAAGAGTGGAGAAGATAACAGAGAACAAGAGGCAAGCTTAGGGAATGTCCATATTTGAAGAATGAAAGACAGAATGAGTGGCAGTTAGCAGAGGAGATCAACATCAGGCAGGACTGCGTCTGTTAAAAGTCTAACAATTTATAGTTTATCTGGAGGAGAGCTGTTATCCCTGCAGTCCAGTTCCTTATACACTGCTCAACATCATGTTGCTAACACCAGACCTCAATGTGAAAAACACATTGAAGCTTATTCTTTACATTCTTTAAAAAAGCTCATCCATCCAGGGTTTTACTTAGAGAGTCTCACTGTGTTGCCCAGACTAGTCTGAAACTAGAAATGTTTCTACATCAACCTCCCAAGTGCTGGAATTACAGGAGCAGGCCAGAATGCCCAACACACTGCCATTATCTGTAAACTAAGGTAAGTCTCTTCCCCAGAATGATAATGAAGGCAAGACTGACCTTCCAAACAAAGCTGAATGAAATTTCTGCATGCCTTTGGAGCTTCTTTTGACCACAACTCTATGTCAATATCTCCAGCTGTAGTTTTCAATAAAACCTATAGAAAGAACATGACATCATATTAAGTATTTATTTTGCTTGATAATTAGCTATGTAACTTGCAATACTAACTAATGAGTTTTCAGTTTTAGAAAAAGCATTACAAACTCTGCTTGGGTTTTGTTGTTATACTGAACAAATATCAAACATTCATTACAGCCCAATCATCATTAGATGATTCAACACACCATTTTTAGAAAAAGCTAAGGATGAAAAAAGAAAAAAAGCACCTACTTTTTCTAATCAGAAAATAAACTTCACTCGTTTAAAAACCAAGAGTGCAAATTTATAACTGTTTCTCATTGCTTTATTTCCAATAAAATTGGTTAGCAAATTATGAAATTAAGATGATAATGAATCCATTGAATTATGACAGTATTAGGCAATTTTACAATCATTCATTTGAAATTATCCTAGAACTCTACTTTTATATTAAAATCATGCTAGCTCTAACTAGGAAAGAAATATTATTCTGTGTATGCATGTGTGCAGGTGCATATACACATGTGTGCATGCAGAGGCCAGAGGTCAACATTGAGTGTCTTTCTCAAAAGCTCTTTACCTTAACTTTTGGATACAGCTCTTCTGCTGACCTAGAGCTCACCAATTCAACTAGACTGGCTTGGGAGCAAGTTGCGGGATCCACCTGTGTCTGCTACCCCTGACTCCCTGGTCTGAGGTTTCAGATACATGCCACCATGCCCAATTCTTCACAACGATATTGGAAATCCAGACTCGGGTTCAGGTTCACACATCAAGTACTTTATTTTATGTTTTCCAGACAGGGTTTCTCTGTGTAGCCTTGGCTGTCCTGGAACTCTCTTTGTAGAGCAGGCTGGCCTTGAACTCTGAGATCTGCCTGCCTCTGCCTCCCGAGTGCTAGGATTAAAGGTGTGCGCCACCACATCCAGCCCAAATGATATTCTTAATCGAATACTAGTTGTGACTTGCTAAAATGGTTATGCCTTAAAAGTCATCATCTCTACAATAGGTAGTATATTTAATAGTCTCCTTTTCACTGCTTCATGGCAGCAGTGTCTCTTTGGTGGTATCACCTGCTTTATAACAACCAGAACCTCTGTGAAGCCAGATGATGAAACAGCTTATTCAACAATTGGCTCAATAACAACAAATAACCAAAAAGAATGTTAGTTCCTAAGTTTGAACAGTGTGGCACAGCTGGAATCTAACTTCTCCAGTATCATTTTTTTCTTTTCCCCTCCAACTGTAGGAAAGTTGATTAGTATCAACAATCTGTGGCCACCACACAGAACATTCTTGCAAAGAAACACTGCAGAATCACTAAAACTAAACCGACCCTCATGAGGAGTCTGTATCAGTGACATAAGTCACACATTCCTTATTTTCTAAAACGTCTTTGCCTTGTCAAGTACAGTTTTGAAAATGAGGGGAGTTTAAAAATCATTTGGGAAAGCCCTGCCCTTTAAGGATGCCCTAGAAGTTGTAAACTGAATGAGAAATCTTTTCAACAGTGAAGTGAGGAAAACCTCTCACTCTCCTCCCCTCCCCCATCACCTAGTAGATTTTTGCTACCACTTTGTTTCAGAAGCCTAGGAAATGCTATAATAAATTATAGAACACTGATGAATGCATTACATCTTTGGGGGCCTTTTCTGGCAACACACAGCTCTTTTACAACTACTCTCCAGGAACTATGAAAGTGAGTGAAGTGAAAATATCTACATTATGGTGGGTGTTTAATGGTTCCCTTAACCCATAAAGAAGAACATAAAAGCCAGGCATGGTAGCATGTGCCTTTAGTACTCAGGAGGCAGAGGCAGGCAGATTTCTATGAGTTCTAGGCTAGCCTCTATGTAGCAAGCCCTAGGTCAGCCAAGGCTACATAATGAGATCCTATCTCAAAATTTTTCCCCTTTATTATTTTTATTTACTGTGTGTGTGTGTGTGTGTGTGTGTGTGTGTGTGTGTGTGTGTGTGTGTGTGATACAAACTGAAGTTGGATTACTCCTTCTTTCTCAGAATGAACCTGAAATGGCACTAAGCACTTTTTCCCAATTATCCATAAGTCCTGATGTATATCATCCCCTGACCTACTTCATTATAACTTGTATCTTTGAAATGAAGCACTATTGTTAGGGGGAGCCAGACTTTTCTTCTTAGCCAAAATTCTTTTTAAGAATTTTGTGATGTTACAAAGACCATATTTTAAAATAGTTCTGATTTTATTTTGTAAAAAACATAGCAAAACATTAATAATATTTGAGATATAATCTACTTATCAATAATTTGACCCTGCTAAAGAGTTCACTAGCTTTCGGTACATTCACCGAGTTTGGAAACCACTGCCACTATTTCCAAAACATTTCATTACCCTAGAGTGAAACAAAACCTTGACCCATTTTCCATCTCTCTCTATTCCCCCCACCCTCACCCTTCGGCAACCACTGATATTTTTTTTTTTCTGTCTGTATGGACATTGCCAACTGAACATTTCATATAAACGGAATCATACAAATGGGCCTTTTCATGTCCAATTTCTTTCACCAAATATATTTCTTTGAAATTAAAGAGGTCTGTCTTCCTGTTCTCTATATTTCGGTTTAAAATGTTTTTAAAAGCTCAGTAGAGCATAAACAATGGTTTTGTAATCTTACTGACAAATATTTCAAGACAGAACTAATATTTACTACAAAGTTCATTGTAACAATAATAAATGGAAACATGTATTCCCAACAATCTCCATAAGTTCTAATTATTTGACAGACTTCCTATGCTTAAATGCTACCATTTTATTACAGTTTTCTTATATTTTTACATTGTATTTATTTTGTTTTAGCAAGTTTTTTCACTTTTTGTTTGTTTTCAAGACAGGGTTTCTTTGTCCTGGCTGTCCTTGAACTTGCTTTGTAGACGAGGGTGACCCAGCACTCAAGAGATCATCCTGCCTCTGCCCCACAAGCACTGGATTAAAGGCGTGCGCCACACCACACCAGGCTAAATTTTTACATTATTAATGTTATCTTTAAAATGAAGTTTCTAAAGGCTGGCTTAGTTAATCTAGATACCATATATCCATGTAACTAATCATTAAAAATTACACCATACTATTATAAAACTGACTGACAAGTACCTGAAGTTTGTGTGTGTGTTTTAATGTGGGTTCTGGGAATCAATTTATATATGCACACACATACACACGTAAGTTATATATGTATAATATATGTATTTTTATTAAACAAGTAAGGAGAAGATAATACAAATAGATACATATTTTCTCCCAGTACCTCAAGAATAGTGGTCCAGGCCCTAAAGTATGCCCTCACTAGTTTAGTAACCACCTCTGAAAATAAAGTAACACACATTACCCTACCCTCCATAAGCTCTTGCAGCAAGCTGCTCAGCTTCAAAGTTGAGTCTTCCACCTACTAGCTTGGACTACCTGGACATGATATCTACCAGTTCTCACCCAATTTCCTTCTCTAAAAACAGAGATACTGGCCCCAAGGATTTGTTGTAAGGACAAAATGAGCTATTATACATATATTGCTAAGAACAGCTGCACACAGATAAGTAATCAAGAAACACTTGCCATCACTATATATATATATATATATATATATATTGCCATCTAGGGGGGAAAAAGTGTGGTTGAGACACACTGGACACCTTAAAACTTTCCACTGATAAGCTACTACATTAACAATGGCTTTTTCCTCCTTCATCCATGAAGGCATTCCGAAGTTACCTGGTATCACACATCAACTTCTTCCAATGTGATCCATGCTTACTGAATAAGGGAAATTTTCCCATTAGAGAGCAGAGGCTCTAAACAAGCTACAGACTATGCTTTCTGTTCCCCTTCGATCTGTTTCTATTCAGAAGAAAAACAGCATTCATCATAATTTGTAAATATTTTTATTTACAATTATTTTATCAATACACGGTTCATTTGACTGACTCAACAACAAAAGGGATGAGGATGGATTTTCTTCCAATGCATCCTTAAAACCTAACATAAAACCTTGCATGTGCGTTACAGGGGAAAAATGTTGTGCTGAGGAAATAGTTCAATGGGTAAATTGCTTGGCATACAAGCCTGAGGACCTGAGTTCAAATGCCCAGATCTCACGTAAAAGCCAGATGCTGTAACATGTGTCTTTAATCCCAATGCTCAAGTTTTAAAGTGTGCAGTGTAGTGAGCTGAGGAGCAGAGGTAAGAGACTCTCAGATGCTCACAGGTCAGATACTCAGCATTGAACAACAAAGGAAAGAGACGATGCCTCAAACTAGGTGGGCTATGAGGACCACCTGTTGTAGGTTGTTTTTGCTCTTTTGGGGGGACCCGCCACCCAGTTCCCAAACAATTCACAAATGGAGGCTTATTCTTAACTATGAATGCCCAGCCTTAGCTTGGCTTGTTTCTACCTAGCTTTCCTTAAATTAACCCATCTGCCTTTTGCCTCTGGGCTTTTCCTGTTCTCTTACTTCTGTAAATCTCTTACTCCATGGCTTGCCATATAGCTGGGTGGCTAGCCCCTGGAGTCCTCCTTCTCTGGCTACTTCTTTTTTCCTCCCAGATTTCTCCTTCTATCTATCCTCTCTGCCTGCCAGCCCTGCCTTGCTATTGACCATTCAGTTCTTTATTAGACCATCAGGTGTTTTAGACAGGCACAGTAACACAGCTTCACAGAGTGAAACTAATATAACATACACAAAAGTAACACACCTTAAAATATTCCACAGCAACCATCATCTATGGTTATAATATGAACCTTCACAAGTGTGCTATGGCATCTGCATGTATGTATGCTTGAATACATGCATACATCTCACACATACATACACATATACAATTTTTAAAATATTGGTTAAATGAATGGGCTCCTGTTCAGAAGTGCTTTTACTCTAGGATCAGGTCAAATCATTCCTTAGAGTAAACAACCAGTCCCAGGACAGACAAGGACTCATATAGACCCTGTTTCGTTTCTTTAAAAAAAAAAAAAAAAAAAAAGTCATTAGAGTATTAGAGTAGAAAACTAAAGATGCCTGTGACTCACAACAGTTTAACTTTGCCCTCACCTGTGCTTAATACCGCTAAGAAGCTAAATAAGACAGTATTAATTCATCTGCCTAGCCATTCTTTCTTTCACAGTATTTGAACTCCATCTACTATGTGGCAAGCATTGTTCTAGATGCTCATACTCTAGAACAATGCTTTAGATCTGTTTGTATTCTATATAGGGAAAAAAAAAAAAAAAAGAAGAAGATACTGTTAAAAACTATACCCCGAGGGCCAGAAAGTGCTGTGACCCAGGGTATCGCTGAGATTTGCTATTTGATAGGCCTCTTTGTTAAGAGGGACATTTGAACAGGTAAAATAGCATATGTTTTCAGCAAATGTTCAGCAATGTGAAGGGCCTGCATAGCAGAACAGTCAGTCTCTTTGATCTCTATCAGTATTTATTAATTGGGATTGACACTACCAAGAAATATAGTTTGATCACAAAAACTATCAGGGAATCCTTTCCCATTCCAATGTGGTAATAGTCCTCACTGTCCTGCTGCTTCTGACAATTAAAGATATCTCCTCCAAGATGTTTTTTCCATCATTCCCAGTTTTTCACTCCATCAAACTGTCGTGGCAATATAATCCCTTCAAAAACCTGACTTACTAAAGCCAGGTATGATGATGCATGTCTGTAACCTCATCACTCAGAGGCCAAGACAAGTTAGGAAGTTTGCAGCTAGCGTTAACTACATAATGAGACCTTGTCATAAAGATTTTCCTTAGCTAGCCAAATCCCAAACTAAGCTACTTGCTCTATCAGGGTAACAATCACATAACTGCGTACCAACCTTTGTATCATCAGCACCTAGTAGAGTGTGTGGTGCCTAGCGGGCGTTCAATAAATAATTGTAGAGAAAGGCATGATCTCCGAGTTAAACAACAACAACAACAAAATTTAACAATCTTAGCATAAGTCTTTTTAAAAAAAAACAACAGACACTAGAAGGCACCCACATGAGTTGGATCAAGGAAGTTAAGGGGCCAGAAGACTAACGAATAGAGAAGTTGCTCAAGGATTCTTTCAAAAATATGCTGAGACGTGTCAACGTAAATCATGTAGATGCAACACTGTCCACAAGCAGTGTGTGGTGGGCAGTTCTTTTGGTGTTTCCAACTCCACGATACCCGACACTTGCCTCAACCTCTTCTCCCCAAATCAGGGAGCTCTCAATTGGGGTGTCAAGGGATGGTGGAGAGGTCCTCACCTTCCCATTCGTGGGCGGCTCCTGGATGTAGATGTTACTCATCTTGGTCAGTGCTCAGGACTCCGCTCTTCAGTGTGGTCGCGAGCGAATGGCGGGTCTCCGAAGGTGTCCGCCTGTTAGTAGACAATTTTTTAACTTGAGGAAAACTTCACTCGGTCAGAGTCGGGCAAGACAGCCTAGTCAGTCCCCAAACTAGCCCCGCATGGACGCCGCCATGTTGCTCCCGGACCCGAGCACCGCTAACTCCGGAGGGGGGGAACTCCGTGTCCTTCGGGTAACTAAAAAATATTAGAAGACCTCTGCAACTTTAGAGAATTTGTCATGTTATCTGTAATAACGGTTAAAGAGCCAATCCATAAATCCCAGGACTGCGTCCAGGTCAGGTGTTCGCAGATGGCACTCACCTCCCGAAGCTGGCCGAAATGGTTCCGACCGTGTGTGCTCCGCGGTAGGACTCCCCCCCGGAAACTGCATCCGCAGCGCCTGAGTTCCGCGAACCCTGGAAGCGCATCGGGCCTTCCCCTGCCGGGAGGTGTAAGTTGTGGGGGCCGGGTGGGAGAGATCTCTCTGAGAGTGCGTTGTCCCCCTCAACGGATCTGAACCTAACGCGATCTCGAAAGCCCAGGACTCTGCTCACCTGCGTCATGGCAGTCCCAGGTGAAGATCAACCTCAGGGCCCCCTTCAGAGGAATGGGGCGAGCAGTGGAGTCCAGGGAGCGGGGCGGCGGGGGAGTCCTCAGGGATTCCAGCGAAGGCCTGAAAATGCCCGGAGTTGGTTGGTTTACATGAAAAAGTTTACACTACAAGTCCAAAGGGAGCGGGGAGAGAGGGAAAGATCATCTCCGTCGCTCCGAGGCAAGCCCGAACTGTACAGGATTTCAAGGAAAGTGTATTGTGGGAGGGAGAGAGGACTTGGGAGCAATGAACTGTAGGCCTAAGAGGACACGTTACCCAGAAGACTGACAGGAACTTTCACAGGGCTTCCAAATAAAATCCGAAATGTGAACATCTGGCGAACCCAGGTAGCCATACACATTGTACTGAAAGACACCAAGTCCAGAAGCGCGCCTGGGGTGTGTTTTAGCTTTTCCTGTCTGTAGTTACAGTGTGGCTGCAGGCCCGGTTGCTGTGCCCTTCTGGGCCTCAGTTTCTCTATCCGTGAAAGAAGGAGCTTTGTTGAATTACATCTAAGATTCTTTATAGGTTTCACTTTTGTGTTCAGAGATTTCTAACCTAGAAAGGCAAACTGTGCTCCGGGGATGTTTTTGTCTGCTACTCCAGTTTACTGGCGATTTCAGGAGCTGCAAAAACTTCCCCAAACCGTCTTTGTCAAGATGTGTCTCTGCAGAACTCTGTTGGCAGATGTTTTTAAGAGATATATATTCTCGCCTTGAATCTTGGAGATTCACAATGCACAGTACTGTAGCAAAGACCCTGGAAATGTTTCCAAAGCCCCGACTTTGCTTAAAACTGCCCTTCCCGCTACTGTTTGAGCTCTGTTTTTGTTCTATGGCAGCCTTTTCTGAACCTTATTCTAGAGACGGGTGGGGGTGGGAGGAGTGGCTGCTTTCCTAACTTATGTCGTTTGCAAAGAAGCACACCTGGAGCTGTGAGAAGAGAGGTGACTGTACACTCTTTATTGTGTTGTAGTGAGCATGGCAGACACCCTTGCTCTCTTAGAACTCAGCAGGGAAAAGGGAGGAATTTGCAGAAAGTGGAACTAATGTCGTGGCAAGTAAAATAGTAAGGACATCTAGTAGGATATAGAGAGTACAGAAGGATGTTCCAGATGAGACCTAAAGAAAGGTGAGAGGGAGGGGAGCCTGCAGGGAAAGGGACTGGATTTGGAGAGGAAGAGGAAGTAAGAAGAGGTAATGAAAGATGCCTGCCATGGCTAACCTTCAGTATGCAGTGTGAGAGAAAAGAGAAATTAGCTAGAGATAATCACAGTATCGAACATTTACTATGTAACCCATGCATCCGATACTATGTCAAACATTGTAATTTTTTTCCTTTTCTTTAATATAACCACTGTTGCAAGATAGCTGTTAATATTCCCACTTCACAGACTGAGGGACATAGAAATCAAGTAACTTGCCTATTACAAGAGCTAATGGTTGGTTATTCTTCCCCACCGTGTGTGAATGCATTTCCCAACCTGTCCATGGCACAATAAGGAGATGTCCTATAATTGAAGTACATTAAGCAAGAACAAAGTGTTTGGATATTGATAGACAATAGGAAACCGCTTAAGGATTTGAGGAAAAGTTACATTTTAGGATGCAGTAACCTGGAGGAGAGTTAGTGAATTTAGAGGCACAGTTGGTAATTAGGGGTGATTCTGGTGTGTTATCATGACACCTGTTGAGGCTTTGGTCCAATGAGAAGCAGCTAAGTTGGAGGTATGTTTTTGATGGTAGAATCACTAGGAATTGATGATTGCTTTGATATAGGTAGAAAATAAGATTCACTTTGTTCTTGATGTTAGATGATTGGGGAGGCCTCATAACTGAGAAGACACCCCCCAAGAGCAGAGTTTAGGGGCATGGCAACGTGTTCGGTTTGGAACTTGTATTGAGGTTGGTCAGACACAAAATGGAAATAGCTAATAGACAGCATAGGAATAAATAGATCTTAGGCAAGAAGTTAGTCAAAACCAACACATATAAGAATTAAGGGATAAAGCATGAGACTGTATAGACACAGTATGTAATGTATGAAAAAGGAGTTCTGACTGGAGCCTAGGGAATAATAGCATATGAGGAGATATCAGAGAGAAACAAGTCTGAACAGTAGCTTGCCTAGGCATTTCGAGAGCCTCTGGTGGCGTGGGCATCACACATCTGCACCCAGAGTTGGCCCACTATTCCTGTTTATTATTTGAGCAGGCTTTCTGAGCACACTGTAAAACTTTAGGAATGAAAATGTGCTGCTTAAGAAGAGGGACAAAGCCGGGCGGTGGTGGCGCACGCCTTTAATCCCAGCACTCGGGAGGCAGAGCCAGGCGGATCTCTGTGAGTTCGAGGCCAGCCTGGTCTCCAAAGCGAGTTCCAGGAAAGGCGCAAAGCTACACAGAGAAACCCTGTCTCGAAAAACCAAAAAAAAAAAAAAAAAAAAAAAAAAAAAAAAAAAAAAAAAAAAAAGAAGAGGGACAAAAATCGACTTTTCTTCTAGCTTTGTTTGAGATGCTCTTAAACTTAAGACCAGTGTTAAATTCAAAATAATGCTTCACAGCATAATAATAAATTGTGTCATTAAGCTAGATGGAACGACTTACATAAACTGCTTAAACCCACCAAAAATCAAGATAATAGGCATGACAGGTGGCATGAACGCACAAGGCAACCACTTTAGAAAATACAGACACAGAAGGTTGTTAAGATAATTTCTTGGCTGATCAATCCAGACACTGCATGGGAGGAAAATAGGGCTCCATTGAGGCGATCATCAAGGGGGACAAGTATTGTGTCATGCTCCTTTATTTTAGGTGTGATGGATTCGGCTTGGGGTGATTCTGCTGCTGGTTATTATAAGGTATAACTATAGAGTAATGAGGCTGCTTTTCACAAACCACCAGCCTTGTCTGTTTTCCTGGTCACGTGCTTCCACGGCTGTTCCTCAGCATTGTATGCTAGCTTACACCATTATGTAGGTAACAATGAGATACTGAAGACCTTAGAAAAATCTTAGACACTTGGTTATTTGACAAATAGCATTGAACATAGGATTCAGCGAAGTTTACTTTCTTTGGAACATTTCTTTGCTCATTCACAGTTGTTCAGATTAGCTCAGTTGTTGAAATTGTATCCATAAGTCACTGTTCTCCACCAGGAGTGGACCAGGCACAAGTGGCAATGTGTGTTAGTGATATGGATGGCACAAAAGCTAACCCTTTTAGGTCTCTCAGGGAAGTCTGTCCCCAGGGTAGAGGATGACAATGCTGCATTAACATTTCAATCTCACATCCGGTCAGCATATTGCTGAAGCATCTATGTAATAAGGGAAATGTGAAATCACACTACAACCTGTTTCCTGCATTCCTCAGGCATTCTATAGGTACTTCTGTCTCTAACGTGGCTGCTGAAATAATGGTCATAAACTCACGTCTGATTCTATCATTTCTGGGAGGCAGACAGTTACCTGTGGATTTTGTAATTTTCTTTAAGCCACTTAACCTTTCATAGGCTCTTTTATTGTCTCTAATTAAGGGGACAGTGTTTTGAATTTCTTCAGCTTCTAAAATATTAAAGCTTCCTTCTCTATGAGAACGAACTGTATAGCTCTGAGCATGACCAATTCTTTTCTACCTTTTTCTGCTCTTCTTATGTATTCTTTGATGATGCGAAAACCTGACTTGGCTCTTTTCTGACCTCTCACATGTTTCTCTTTCCGTGCTGTGTGGCTTTGTTATTGTTATCCTTCAGTATATATTCATACCTGCCTCAGGTTTTCAGCTGACAGTCTTGCCTGCCACTTTTTATGCTTATTAGAAAAATTATGTGCTGTTTTTCATTGCCCAGCACGGTCAGTCTGTCATGCATTACAACTATGAGTACACTACCCTAGATAACCTAGTATGGTGTAGCTTTTTGTAGTGAGGGACTTTATTCATTTTGATGACTTTTCTAATGCCAGTTCAGAGTTACACACCCATTTACAGGATTTATAGCTCATTTATGACAAGCACAACACAGTGCTGGCAGGCTTGACTGTTTCATTAGACAACAGATTAAACTATTGTCCCGTGGCAATAGTTTTTGGTTATGTACCCAGGACTTATGGGTACCTGGGCTCCCCTGTTAAGATCTCACTGATTTGGGCAGAGTGAAGAGAAGTTAGGGATCATAGGATCCGGAAGGACCACAGGCTGTTGTTCTCTTAGTTGGAGACAGTTCAAACATATTTTTAAAGGAGACTTTGGTGATTTCTCTAACTGTCCCTATAACTTCTTGCTAAGTGTACCTCAGATCTGCCTGAAACTCATGATACAGCAGGCTGGCCTCAAGTTAAAGGTAACCATCACGAAGCAGTCTCTGCGATTGCTAGCGAGTGGCACATACCCAGCTTAGCTTTTCCTTCATAGATTATTTTGTGAAGCAAATAGAAGGAAGAGTTTTATGCATTTAAGTTAGCTATTTTTGTATCAGTAGTTTAAGGGGATGGATTACTTTCATCCCTCTTTTAGAGAGCAAATGATTAAGAGACATAAACAAGGACATAAACATAGGACATCTGCTCTTCCGAAGAATTCCATCAAGAAATTAATTTAGCCTACTGTTTAAATTCATGCAACATTTCTGTTTCTGTTATTTTTTCTATTTTAGTTTCATTATCCATGTGAGATCCCA